AATTAAATGAATTAAATTATAAATAAAGTAAAAAGTATAAAATATAAAAATGTTTAAATAAAATATATTTTTCACCTTAAAACTATTAATGATATCTTAATTATAAGATTGAAGATGCACTGTAATATTTGAGAAAAGGTATTTAATAGTAATATTTATTAATTAAATAGTTTCATATAGAGCATATATTAAAACATTATCAATAAGAAGAAAAATATTTTGATTTTGCCTTATTAATCAGTTATTAAGTTTCTTAATATATTCATTTTAAATTGATACATATATTTAACTTTTTTTTTTTTAGTAATATTTAGCTAGAAAGTCTTCTTATCAATATTTTTCAGGACCCAATAATTTTCATGCTCATATATAAAAAGAAAGCAACCTTTTCCTTTCCAGTTACATTATAGATAAATAAGATAGTTATACAATTCTTTGATTGTTTAATTTTAGATATTTAGCTATTTGATATTATACAACTGGATTTTATCTTTTAAAATAAACCTATTTTATTACAATTAAAAATGTTGTTGGATTATAATTTTTTAGAATATTACAAATTTTATTATATATTATATCAAGATCATCAAGTAGCATACTTGTAACTTTTCATATATATTATATTATCATAGGTTATGTTATTTCTTGAAATTATCTACCTATTTATTAGAACCTTTAAATTTATCCTTACTAAACAAAAAAGCAAATCCTAAAAGTCTTAGTTAAAAAAATACTATTGGTTATAATAAGATCAACTTAAAATGCATTTTTTATTCAAAGAATTAAATTAAAGCTTTTTTAATAAATAGAAAGATTTTTTTTTATGTTACAAACTAGCTTTATATGATTTAGTATCTATAGTAAACCAACAGTCCTTTTCTTTTAAAATGTCACTAATCATATTTTTATTAACTTTATATTTATTTGCCAAGTCTTTTATTTTAATAACAGAAATGAAGTTTTTTTTATATAATAGTAAGAGACTTTTATTTTTTTTAAAGGTTTACTATTAGGTTTTTTTCGTTTCTTTAAATTTACTTTTGTTATTCTTATGTTAAAGAAAGAAATATAAAAAAAATTACAAAATATACTAAACAAAGAAACATTTAAAAAAAATTGTGAAACATTACATAAAACACTTTTATTAACTTTATTAAAATACATAAAATTACAAAATTTCATATACAAAGTTTATCCTTTCTACTAAAATTTATTTTTGTAAATCTTTATTATATTAAAAAAAACTTCATTATAAATAAATGTATTATAAAAGGAACATTTATATAATGTATGTTTATACACTTTTATTTGTTAAACGTAGTATAAATTTTAATTACTAAATTCAGTATAGCTAGATTTTTTCTATATTAAAAATCTGCATTATATTAAAGATCTGTTATATTGTAAAATTTGTTATATCAAAATTTGCTATAGAAAGTGTTGATTTTATATAATTATTATAATTATTTTTAGCTTTATTTAATTTAATTAATTCTAAAAAAATATTTATTAAATACCAAAAAAATTATAAAGTATTCAGAAAATTGAGAATATATATTATTAATTTATATTTTTATTTAAATAATAAAAATAAATATATATTTTTTATATAATTATATAAATTTTTTATCAATTACTATTTAATTTTTAAGTTATTAAATTTTTAGATTATTTAATAAAAAAGTAATTTAATAATATAATTGCAAGAAATTTTAATACAAATTAATATATATGTGATATATATATTTTTATACATTTGAAAATTAAAATAAATAATAAATATTTATAGAAAATAATATTCTATCAGATTTTTTTATTTTTCTTTATAAATATTTAATATTTAAACAATTCTTATTAATATTTTAGATTATTAGAATAACTAGAAATATCAAAATTTTCTTTGATATTAAAAGTTTTAGTTTTAAATATTTTTAGTTATAAAAGAATAATATAATTGCTTTTATAATTAATTAATAATTTTTGAACTATTAATAATTTTTAATTAGAGTCAATTTTAATCAATCTTAATATTTTATAGTAATTTTATTATAAAATATTTTAGTCACATTTAATTATAATTTATTAAGTAGTTAATAAATTATAAAGTTAACTATAATAAAATTAATTTTATAATTCAAAATATATCTTTTAATATTGATTTTCTAAAATTAATAATATTAAGAATTATAATATATTATTTATAACAATATCTAAATATTAATTTTAAATTAAAATATTAAGAATACAAATTGAAAATTAGATAATATATATAAATAAACCTTTGAATCATTTAATATAAATTTAGCTCATGATATAAAAAATTTATTTTTTTACATCTTAAATTTATTATAAAAAAATTTAAAAATCTAATTTAGATTCAGAATAATAAGAGATTTTTAATATATTGGATTAATCAAATATTATATTATATAAAAAAATTCATTATATAATTAGTTTATTATATTAAAGCTTAAATATAATACTTTACTTTTTGTTAAAACAAAGGAAAATTAGAATATAATTTTATTCATTAATTAATATCTAACTAATAATATAATATTTTTTTTTTGTTAATAACTTTTTTATTAATATTAATATATAAAAAGTTTATAATAAAAAAAACTTTAAATTTAGATTTATTTTATTAAAAAATTATATTTATATAAACTAATTTTAATTATTACAACTGATAGTTATAATATATGAATAATAATAATTTAAAAAATAGGATAAATAAAAAATAGATTTTATATATTTTTATATAAATTATTTATTATATTTTTTTTATAAAGTTACTTTCTTAACAAATAATTCTATATTCTTAATTATTACTTTTTCTTTAACTATTTTTTTTTAAAATTTCTTTTTATTTTATATTTTTGTATTTTATTATTTTTTAATTTTTTTATATTTTTTAGCATTTCTTAAATATTTTTTGATTTTTTAATTGTAATCATTTTTTAAAATACAAAATTTAAAATTTATTTAAAATCTTAATCATTTATAATATAAAATTAATAAAAAAGTAAAATTTTTTATATATTATAATTAAAGATAGATTTATAATTATTAGGTTACAACTTTTTGAATTAAACTTAAGTTATAAATAACTAGAGTTCTAAATAAGTTGGATTGAGCAAGTTTTGTCAAATTCAACTTAATTCAAAAAATTGAATCAAGTCAAGTTAAGTTGAAAAATTTTTAAATCTTAATTTAATTTAACTTAAATTATATTAGTAAATAAAATATAATAGACAATTCATTCTGATTGAATAATAAAAGATTATTCTAAAGAAATAATAATAAAATTATTTAATAGTATGGTAAAAGATCATTCTAAAAAAATAATAAAAATAATCATTTTGATAGAATGATAAAAGATTTTTCTAAAGAAATGTTAAATAATATTATTCTGATAGAATGATAATATATTATTCTAAAGGAACAATAGAAGAATCATTCTGATAGAATAATAAAAGATTATTCTAAAGGAATGATAAATAAAATCATTCTGATAGAATGATAATATATCATTTTAAATAATATCATTTCAATTGAATGAATAGATATTGTTCTAAAAGAACAATAAAAAGAATCATTCTAATAGAATAATAATGTATTATTTTAAAGAAACGATAGAAAATCATTTTGATAAAATGATAAAACATTATTTTATTAAAATGATAGAAAAAATTATTCTAATAGAATAATAAATCAAATATTTTGATAGAATGATAAATCATCATGCTAAAAGAATGATTTATTCTTTAGAATGATGTTGATGATTTATTGTTCTATTAGATTAGAAGGATATTATTTATTATTTTGATAGAACAATTCTTTTATCATTTTATTAAAACAATTTTATTATTATTCCTTTAAAATGATATTTTATCATTCTATTAGAATGATATTATTTATTATTTCTTTAAAATGATATTTTTATCATTTTATTAGAACAATTTTTTCTATTGTTCCTTTAGAACAAAGATTTATCATTCTATTAGAACAAAACTTCTATTATTTCTTAGAACAATATATATTATTTTATTGAAATAATTTATTTATACTTTTTTTAAAAAAATTCTTAAATTTTTACTTGAGTTCAGCTTGACTTTAGACTTGAATTTTACTTAACTTTTAGCTTAAGTTTAACTCAAGTTATTTCAAGTTAAGTTGAGCTTAACTTAAAACTCAATTTAAGTTAAAAGAGTCAAATTTTTTTGACTTAACTTAATTCAACTTAACTTAACTTATCTGATTTGAAAGTTAGCTCAGCTCATTCAGAACTCTAGTTACAACTAATTGCTGAATCTTAAATATAAGAACTATAATATATAAGTTTATAGCTAATTGCAACTTTTTAGATTATAACTAGTTGCAGATTTTTCAACTAAGTTGCAATTTCATCTTTAATTATTATAAAATTACTGTAACTTCATTATATTATTATATTTATTATAAATATTTATTTTATTACTAAAATACTATTATTAAAATTCAATAAATTGTTATTATTATGTTTATCACCCTTTTAATATTTAATTTGAATTCAAAAATACTATTATTAAAATTCAATAAATTATTATATTACCTTCTTTATTATCTTTTTTTTGTTATTTACAGATTTTCTTGTTTTTATTATATAATTTTATTTTCTTGAAATTATAGAAAATTCACAAGTTATTTTATTAATTTACTATAATATAAATAATTTATTGACATAATAATGCAAAAGATTTTAAATGCTACAACTATTAGCTCTAAATTTTTTAATATATATATTACTAACTTATTGTTTTTATTATATTAGTTGTTTTGTGAATTTACACGGTTAATTAATGATCATAAGTAATCGGTTTTTGGTAAATGTATGGATTTCAACATTGAGCCGAAATTTATATTAAACAAACAGGGTAAACATTTTGTTTTAATTTATTTGTTATAGATGAAAACAACATTTCGATTTTTTAAAAAAATTTTGTAAAAACCCTACATAATTATCTATCTTTATTTAATTCTAAACCAACACTGTGAACAGTCTCCAAGAAAACTCTTGTAGCTTCTGGATCAACCGTTGGTAAAATCCCATGTCCAAGATTAACAATATACTTTTCATACGTACCAAAAGCTTCCAACATTGTTCTGACAGTAGAACGAATAGCTTCATCCCCTCCATACAACATACAAGGATCCATATTTCCTTGTAAAGTTACTCTACCTTTCGTGACATTTTTAGCGTATGTTGGATCAATAGTCCAATCTAATGAAATAGTGTCATACCCAATCTCCGATAATGATTCTAATGCATACCATGAACCTTTACAGAATATTGTCATGGGTACAGGTATTATTCCGTCATCCCTGCATTGTTTTTTAACACTATCAGCGATCTGCGAGATATAGGGTAATGAGAATGTCTTAAAATCATGAGGTGACAATTCTCCTCCCCATGATTCAAATACTTGAACCATCTGTAAATTAAAAAAAAAATTCAATTTTATATATATATAAAAAATAAATATAAAACAACTCTCAATCAAATACCTGAGCTCCAGCTTTAATTTGTCCAATAAGAAAATTCACAGCAACATTAGTGATAATCTGCAATAATCTCTTACTCTCCTCAGGATACTTGAATAACCAAGTTTTAGCTTTTGAAAGATTGTTACTTCCACCTCCCTCAATCATGTAAGCCATTAAGGTCCAAGGTGCTCCAATGAATCCTATTAAAGGAACTCTTCCTTTCAATTCTAGTCTAGTCATTGTAATAGCATCAAATACGTAACCTAATTCTTTATATACATCCACTTTTTTATTTAATTTTGCGTCAATATCCGCTGGTGTTTCAAGTGGCGAAGGGAAATGTGGTCCTTTGTTTGGTACCATTTCTACTATTAAACCTAATGCTTGTGGGACAACTAATATATCGGAAAAAATTATCGCTGCGTCTAATAATCCATCATATCTATTTATTGGTTGTAAGGTAATTAGTGTGGCTAATTCTGGCGTTCGACAAATTGTGAAAAAATCATATTTTTCTCTTTCTTTACGGAACTCTACAATTTAAATTAAATTAAATTTTATTGCTTTATTGTTCATCGAAAAGTTTTGGATAAAAGTTCATTTATTTTAAACCTGGTAAATATCTTCCTGCTTGTCTCATAATCCATACTGGTGCTCGCTCTGTTTTCTCTCCTTGAATAATAAAAGCAAGTATATAATAAAAATATTTTATTCAAAGAAATTGATTGACTTTCTCATCATACCACGAGCTGCACGAAGAATTAAATCATTTTTTAACGGTGGAAATTCTATCATTTTACTGTCTTAAAATTCGAGATATTAAGAAATAAGCGTTTCAAAAAAAAAAAAAAAAAAAAAAAAAAAATATATATATATATATATAGATGAATTAGGTAATGATCTGTAGGAAGTTTATTTATTGATTTCTATGCTTGTTCACAATGACTGTGAAATTCAGACATTATTTTTAATTCAATGCATTAAATATCATAATACAAGGTGTGAAATTTTTGAGGTCTTCTAATAAATATATGATGTAATCTAAGCACAAGCAAGTTCTTTTCTAAAAAAAAAAAAAGAGGAAAAAGGAAAAATTTTCTCTGGATTATGTTTCACAATAATTATAATTAATCGACATCCATCTCAGTTTGTTCTTTCTTGGAAGCATTTTCATTTGTGGACTGGCCCTCATTCGTCTCCTTTTCAGTAGAGGCTTCTTCTGCCTTAGGTGTTTCTCCTGGATTTTCCGGAGTTCCAGAAGCAGGATTTGGATTATCTTCAGGTTTAGGCTCAGGTTTGGGTTCCGGTTTGGGCTTAGGTTTTGACAAAATTGGAGATGCAAAATGTACCAAACTCTACATAAAAAATAAAATAAAATAAAAATAAATAAAAGAAATTCAAAAAAAAAAAAATCTAAAAAAAAATTGAGAATAATATTTTCGGATGCATACCTCACGTTCTTTTAAAATGTCGCGAACAAACACGATAGGTGACTCGTATTTTGGCACATTATTTTGAGCTGTTAATTTCTCATTTAGCCATTCTGAAATTTTTGTAGCTCGTTCCATAATACTCTTTTTTTCCTCTTCAGGAATATGATTATACCTTTCCTCATTACTTGTTGCACTTAAAATAAATTGCTGTATACTTTCGCGTAATAATTTTTCTGCTCTGGGCCGCTCATCAGATTCACGATATCTTTCAACAATAGGATTACCATATTTCTTCAATTCATCTAATTTTTCCGAATATATAGATTTTGTTGCATCTTCGCCCTCATCATAAAGCCAATCTTCAGTAGACGTCAAAAGATTAGAGATGATATCCTTATCAGCTGGATTGACAAATTCTTGATATGATGACTCTATTTTTGCTCGAATATCGTATATATATTCCTCTAACGCGTTCTTTTGAGTTTCGGTGTCTGCAACAAGTTTATCAGTTGCAATCATTTGACCTTCCATTTCCTTAAATTGTGTGATTATTGATTTGTCTAATCCACCTGTACCCGATACAAGTGGTAATTCACCTTTTTTAACTTGATTTTTAACTTTCTTTGTCGTTGGGCTAGGAGGTCTAGGTTGTGCTTCTTCAGTTTTATCAGTTTCCATTTGATGTGGATCTTCTGGTTTTGGTGATTCTTCTTTTTCTTCTTTAATCACTTCTTCATATACCGAAGCACTTTCTACGTATAAAACGCTATGCACATTAAGTCTGGCCTTCACCTTAATAATACTTAGTTCACCTGTCTCAGTTGGTGTTACACCTTTTATTGAAAATCTTCCAATCCAAGGATTAATACCGGCAGGGATTTTATCAGGCTCTGCATAATGAGCTTCAATATCAAATGGTTGCTTACGATAGAATGTTAAAATCTTAGTTGAAGGAATGCTATTATTCTTCGGGAATACGACAAGTTCAGTCCCCTCATCTGGAATTTCAGGAATAGTCTCCCATTGGATCTTAATTGGGTAATTAATGATATCACGAACTGTAAATTCTCGAACTTTAAATACAGGTGATAAAATAGCACATTGGAGTGCACAGCCACGTGCAACCGCTTCATCTTGATTAAGTGTATAATTTAATTCCTTGCCGAAAAATTTTGATATACGCTCTTTTATAGAGGGAACGCGTGTTGAACCACCTACTACTTCAATAGAATGAATATCTTCCAATTTAAGTCCAGATTCTTGTAATGCTTGAGAAAGTGGACCTTCAATTCGATCAAAAAGATGATTTGATAATTCCTCAAATTCTTGTCGAGTAATGATAGCCTGCACATCAATATCATTCATGATCGACTCCACACTAAGAGGAGCTTGAGTATTAGCTGAAAGGACTTTCTTTAATTTTTCTATTGCTGTACGGAGACGGAAAATTGCCTTGGGATTCGTTTTAATATCAATTTTATATTTTGTCTTGATTACTTCAGCGAAATGGTCAGCCAAAACTTGATCAAAATTGCGTCCTCCAAAATGCCGATCATACGCGGTAGACTTGACGGTTAGTTGTCCTTTAACAAAGGACACAACTGCTACATTATAGCATGAATGCCCGATATCAACAAACACGACATTACGAGCTTGAGCCTTATCTTCCGGTAAATCCGTCTTTGTGATGCCATATCCTAATGCTGCAGCAGTAATGTCATTCATCAAACGTAAACAATTTAAACCAGCAACCTCTGCCGCGTCGAGAATACTTCTTCTTTGAATATCAGTAAACCAACCGGGAACAGAGATCACAACATCAGATATCGGGATTTTAAGCTCTGCAGAGGTGATATCTTTAAGTTTTGTAAAATACATGGCAAGTAATTGCGTATTAGTGAAAATGCGCTGCTCGCCAAGGTATTGAACCTATTTAAAAATGTATAGCATATTAATATACTATTGTATTTATTGAAAGGGTGCACTAATGTTTAAATGCGACATTGTCATATGTAACTTCACCACTACGAAAATAATTTGATTATTTTTTCTAAAAAAATATATCGATTCATACCTTAACACCAAGTTGTCCCTTTTCATCTACTAATTCTGCATTTATGTACTCCTTTTCGATCTCTTGAATTTCTTTATCCTGATAAGTGCGACCGGCAAGTCGTTTTAAAGAACTTACTGTATTTTTAAAATTCGAAATTTCTTGGGTTTTTGCTGCTTCACCCAAATATCTTTGTTTAGGACCAAAGGAAACTAGAGATCTGCGGGAAAAATTGGAATCAGAACTTTAACAAATTATGGTAAAATTTTTGGTTTAGAAGATAACTTACGGAGTAGCACGGTTCGAAACCTCATTACAAATGACGTCAATTCCGCGATTACGAGCTATTGCAATCTTGGAATTAAGATTTCCAAAGTCAATACCTAACGCCATTAATAAACAGCGAGATCATGTAAGTTTAGAAAATCAAACATTCTTTTTTTTTCGAAATTTAAACCGATAAAGAAACAGTTTAATGTTACGCACCTACGACAGACATGATATATGAGTTTACTTATATAAAATTACTCTTGCCGACGCAAAGGATGAAAATTTCAAGAAACAGAAAAAGTAAGGATTCTCTTGATTCAAAGAACTTAAGTTCTTGAGAAGCAATGGAGCTAAAAAGTTTCTTTTATTTTTTTTAAATTTTTTGGTTAAAAAGAAACGTATTAATTAGGACTTCATTAATTCTACTTTATATATAATTTTTAAATATCCGACCAATCAACATACTTGATGTACTAATCATTTGAAAAAAAAAATCCATCTTGAATGATCTAGATTTTCCAGCAGTTTCCATGAAGTTCGAAATAAATTACGAAATAATTTACAAAATATAGTTCAAAAGTATATATCATGTGATGATATTAACTAATTTTCATATTTTCATTATAGAAGGGTTTTTAAATCATTTTGATTTCGATGAAGGACTTCCATCATTATATAAATTACTATACCGAGAAGACTCTTTCTGTCGTTGATTATTTCCATTACCCACTTTCTTCTCGTAACCTCCATCATCAATTCCAGTGGCCCACATGATATAATTGATCTGTGCCATAAATTTGGCTTTTTTGCCAAGAAACCTGAATTTTTCATAAGGTAGCTTAGTCAATCGTTCAGCAATTTCAGGACCTGGTTCGTCAACACCATCAAATAATACACCTGGAGGTGTACCTTTGGCAAAAGTTATAAAAGATGGTGCTTGTAATAAATCTTTGCCACTTCGCGAATTATTTTTACCCCCTCGATTAGGAATACTTTTGTAAGGAAAAGAAGTTTCCTTGTTTTCAGAGTTGTTACGAGCGCGTGACATTTTTATTTTATGAAAATAAAAAATAAAAAATTATAAAAATCGATATCGATATTCTTTTTTTTTTTTATAGGAATTCTTATCTTAAATATCAGCTTATCATTAGTATAATCAATAAATCACATGTCTTGTTTAATTAACTTACAATATACTCGTTACAATTTCTAATTTAATTTTTTATTGTTCGAGGCAAGCAGAATCATGTCAAAGGTAATTAGTGTTCCTATGCAACTTTATTTTTAATTGTGAAACTTATTAATTCTTAAAAGTTTCTATTAGGAATTCACGATTCTTTATTATGCGACAGCTCGTGATGCTACTAAGGTGTCCTCAGAAAAAATTCCATTACCTTCTCAGAGCCCTTTTATTTCCCTAAAGGATTTAACAATTTTATTAAAAGAACGACATAAAAAACTGGTACCGATACTTGAAAACTCTTTATATGCTATTAATATGGAATATGTAGAAAATGATCAAGCAATTCTAGTTAAAGAAGGTGACGAAGTTGCCGTAATTCCACCTGTTTCTGGTGGCTAATAAACCAACTTATTTATTATCTTTGTACAAGATTGAATTTTCTATACAATAAAACCCGACAAAGTAACCCATGGTTTGTTATTTAGTTTTGGATCAAATAAACTCCATAAAAAATAATTGTAATTAACTCTCATTTATTTTTTTAACTTATTTATAAAATACCATTATGATCTTTTATTCAAATGAACTTCTTGAGATCATATAAAACTCGCGCTTATTAGAAAGGTTCATAATAGTTAATTGTTAATTAATCCAGTAATTTAAAGAATTTCAGCATTATTTTGATTGTAAGCAAATGAATAAATTCTATTATAAACTTTTTGTCATAATTATTGCAAAGTAACAATAAAAATTTTTATTCTGTATATTTTTATTAGCATTAATTAAAATAGTCCAAAAATTGAACCTTTACAATTAACATATTAATTATTATCAAATAAATTGATTTTAATATCATATAAATTTTTAATATTTTATAATTTAATATATAAATGTTTTGGTATACTATTTTAAATTCTTTAGTTAATAAAATTTATAAAGTAATGTCAAAATTTCTTACAAGATTTTATTTTATTTATTTAATTTATTATTTAAAATTTGATTTTAAAAAATTTCAAATTATTAATTTATAAATATAATTTTACTAATATTCTTTTGTTTATTATATTCATTATTATTAATATTTAATATTTTCTTTTCTTTATCTTTTTAATAATATAATTTTAGTATTTATTTATTATTATTTTAATTTTAGTATTAAAATAAAATTTATTTAATTATAATATGTAATTAATTATAATTTTATATGTATTATAATTATATTATTAAATTAATACTTAGTTAAAATACAATAAACTAAAAAAATGTAAATTGTTTAAGTTCATTACATTTAAAGTTATATAAACATCAATATCCTTGCAAATAAGTTTTTTTTTTGTTATTTTTGACTTCGCTTAATCTATATTAAACAATTTATTACAAGTATTATATTACGTAATTTTTTTGTATATTTCAATTAGAAAATTATTACATAGTTATGATGTATTTTCAAAAAAAAATTAAAATTAATGATTGTAAGAAAGACAAAAATGAAAAATAAAACATTTTTATTATATCAGTATAATAAATAATCCTTCGTTATGCTTATATAATAATTTAAAAAAATATTTTTTAATAAAAATGATATTTAATATTTAAAATTATAAAATTAAATTTTAATAATATTTTAGTAAAAAAATGTTTCTAAAATCACTAAGTTATTTTTATTAGATTTTTCTCAGTAAAAAAGTTTCTGAAACTGTAAAGTATTTTTACTAGTTTTTACTAGTAAAAAATGTTTTCTAATCTGTAAATAAGTTTTTTTACTATAATTTTTTTAATGAAATTGCAAAAGTATTTTTTATTATGGTTTTTTTAATAAAAATATTTTTGAAGTTGCAAAAATGATTTTACTATAATTTTTTAATAAAAATTACATCTGTTATTTAAAAAATAACTTTACTAATTAATTTAAATTAATTAAATATTTAAATACTTGATTTGAAAATTTAATTGAATTGAATAAAATATTAATTTGTATTTAATTAAATAAATCATTCTTTGATTTGAATTTAATTAAATTTAAAACTTCTAATAAATCGAATCAAGTTGAGTTTAAAGATAATTCAACTCAACTCATAAAATTAGAGTCAAATTAAGTCAAGTCAAGTCAAAAAATTTTAAAACTCTAACTCAACTTGACTCAAGTTATATTTAAATTTGACTCAACTTAACTCAAGTCAAATAAAACCCTATAAATATATTTGCTAATTATATAAATAATAAAATAATAAAATTATATTAAAGTCTTAGAGTTTATTATCTCATAATATACTGATCAGAATTTCATGAAATTTACACCATTGTGTTTACTGAAATACGTTTATCAAAATATTATATGTTGTATTTTTAATAGATTATTAAATGCTAAGATTATACATGAAGTCGAAATAGATCATTTCAAATATCTGAAATAGTCAAAATAGGCAAAATCTTTTTGACTATTAGAGGTGAAAAGTTGAAATGATCAAAATGATGTCATATCACATGATTTTTATATATAAATAAACAAAAAAAAACAAAAGATATATGATTTCGGTCAATATCATACCAATTCATATAAAATAACTACCATTCAATTCCTCATGACTAGATGAATCTAATGAGCTAACATTCATTAATTTCGGATTATCCAATCTTGAGATAATCGTAATCGTATTATCAGCTGAAATTATGAATCAATAAATTCTACTTTAAATAAAGGAGTCTAGATTTTGAAATCTGATTGCTAATATCTTGAGATAGGCTGATCCAAAATCAATAAATGTTAGCTCATTGGATTCGTCTAGTCACGAGGAATCGAATGGTAGTTATTTCATACGAATTAGTGTGATATTGACCAAAATCATACATCTTTTGTTTTTTTGTTTTTTCTATAAATAAAAAATCATGTGATATGACGTCATTTTGACTATTTCAACTTTTTATTTCGACTTTGACCTCTAAAGTCAAAATATTTTGACTTTTGGGTTTTCATTTTGACTTCATGTATAGCTGAAATATTCAAAAAAATTTGTTGAAAATATTAATTTTCAGCTTTAAAAATTATTATCTTAAGATTTATCAATCAGAATTTCGTGAAATCTACACTATTGTGTTCGCTGAGTCTGTCAAGAAAACATGTTAAAATAATTATTTTAAAATTCATAATCAGAAATTTCAGAAATTTCAGATTGCATTTTGTTACCAAAATGAGTTACATAGCAAATATGAATATACATTACACAAATTCCTAAAAGGAAATTTTAGTTATTGAAAAATTGGAAAATCACCAAAATAGGTATACAAAATTCCAAAAATAGTAATTTGTATAATATCAAATCATATGATAGCGTGACTCTTATTAACTTATGAGTCAATTGAATTAACTTAAGTTAAAATGAGTTGAGTTAATTTATTAACTTGAGTTAACTAATAACTTGACTCAAGTCAAATGAATCAGAAAATTTTTGATTCAATTTAACTCAAACTTGAATTAATTCATTTTATTTATAAGTCAACTTAACTCATTCAGAACTCTAATCAAATTTAATCAAATATTTAAATATGAAATTGAATTGTAAAATTTAATAAACTTAAAAGTAATCAAGTAATTCTGAATAATAACAGAAATTTAGAAATATACTTTTGAGATTATGTAACAAAAAAAAACAGTCTAAATAATTTAAAATTACTTATCATAAAATTCAAAAAATAATCTTGATTAAAACAAATAAAATAGATTTTCAGATGCAATATCATTTCTAATAAAATAAAAAATCAATAAAATCAATATTAATATATTTATATTATTTAATTATTTAATTGCAAAAATCATAACCATACATAATTATAGGAAAAAATTCAAAATAAAGTCAGTTTATAAGTTTTAAAAAAACTAAAAATATAACTATTATTAGCAAAATACACTTATTATGCTAAAAGTAAATATATGAACTGAAAATGCATTAGTGAATAAATCAATAAAACTTATATAAAATATTATATTTAAAAATAAAAATATCTTTACTTTTAGTAAAAATCTATATAATATTTGAAAATATAAAAGACTTATGATTTATATCTTAAAAATGTCAAAATTGCTCTTATAATATTTATTAAAAGAAATTAAAAAGGAAAGAACAGAATAATATATTTAAATTATGAATTTCTATAAGAATTGTTTGGATTCTTATAATATATAAGAGCTAAAGACTAATATTATCAAAGACCAAAATTAATATCAAAAGTAAATAATTTATAATAAGATTTTTTTCATTAAAGTATTATGTATCATTCTATTAGCAATATATATTTAAAACAGTTCACTTTGAAAGATTACAATGCATAAAAAATTTGCAAAGATTATAAAAAAAAAAGCTTGAGAAAGATTAATTAGTTTTTCTGATATCAGAAATACTAAAAGAAAATATATTTTAATAAAACTGCATATATTAAATAGAAAAAAATAGAAAAAAAATAAACAGAAAATATCTTTTAAACATAAACATATTTAAGGTTATTAGATGAAATTTGAAATATAGATAGGCATCTAAATAGTCAAAACCTTATTAAAATATCTGTAAAATTCAGATTATATCAAAGCTTATAAAAATATTAAATATTTAATAGAAATTAAAGGTTAAACATTTAGCCAAATCAAAAATAAGTTTAAAAAAGTAATCTTAGATATAGTAAAAAAAATAAATTATATAAATTGTTAAAATATTATTAAAAAAATTTGAAAGATTTATTTTTTATATTTTTCAGAATTATAAAAAACATTATAAAATAAAATACATTTTTTTGGAATAAAGGTATTACAAAATAAAAAATATATAATTTTTTTATTTTTAAAATAAAAGGTATTACAAAAATAATAAAAATTAAAAGCTTTATTTTTTAGAAAAATATGTGTTTAAAATAAATAAACTAATATAATAATTTAATTAAGAATAAAATTTAATAATTCTAGATAGTAATCATGTATTTTATTAACAGATACAGACAATAATTCAAATATTAAATAGACTGATAGACTGATATTTATATTATATTATCTAGATTATAATGATTCTTTGCTATACTTTAAACTAATTAATATAGAATCCTGAATATTTCTAATATAGATTATACCTAAAAATTATTATAATTTGATAAAACTCATTTTTATATTTTTTTATAAATATTTTAAAAACTATTAATTAAAATTGAATAAAGTTTTTTATAAAGCTTATTGAATGTTATAAAATAAATTATATGATTAAACTTAGAATTTTGAATAGAATGATATTTATAAAAACTGATTTTTTAATCTTTTAAAAAAGAATTAATCTGTAAAACTTGCATTTATAAACTTTTTGAAAAATATTTATAAATATTTTAATATAATATATTATTTAAATTTGTAAAAATTTTATTATTTTAATAAAAGATTTATTTAAAAATTATATTTTATTATTTTAAGCTTTATCTTATTTATATATAAATTTAAATTATTAGATTTTTAAAATCAAAATTATTTTTCTTTTTGAATTTTTTATTATTTTTTCTTTAATTATTTAGTTTTTAAAAAATAATAATATATTATTATTTTAATTATTTAATTTTTTATTATAAATCCATTAATTAATTTTTTAATTTTTGATTATATGGTGGTTTTGTAATAAAAAGAGAGGCTAAATATGATTTTTTAGTAAAATAAGTTCAGATTTAACATTAATTCAAAAAATAATTTTACTTTGTAAGCTAAATATGAGATTTAACATTAACTTGAAAAAATTTGTTAGATTTCGTAACTTTTACTGCAAAGTTTCCGTATATATAAAAATAATTAATATGCAACTTTTTTCTATAAAAAAAAATTTATTGAAATTACTACTAAATTTAATTTTTTTAATTTTGTCTTTTTAATAAAATTCTTTTTGACTAACGTTTTTATTAACATTATCAAAATGTCTGATCCGAGAACTAATTTTTCAATTGCATGATTTGCCTGCAGGTGGTAAATCGCTCAAGCATGAGTTGCAGGAAAGGAAGTAATGTTGTGAAATTGAATGGATTATTTAAGTCAAGCTTTTACTGTAAATAAAGATATAAACCGGAATTTTGATGACGTCATATGTGCTCCATAAAACTACTTTTTTTATTTAATACTACGCGTATATCGGTTAAATCTCTTAATAGCGCGTTTTACCATTTTACTCATTACAGCTCATTCAAGATGCCACGCGAATTAATAACAATACAAGCTGGACAATGCGGAAATCAGAGTAAGTCCAATTATCCTCTTGACATATTATACTTTAAGTATAACTAAATTAATTCAAAATCTAGTTGGTATGGAGTTTTGGTCTCAATTATGTGCTGAACATGGGATTAGTAAAGAAGGTATACTAGAAGATTTTGCGACTGAAGGTGGTGATCGAAAAGATGTATTTTTTTATCAGGTAATTAAAAGCTTGTAACCATTTATTTCTCTCTAAAAAACTCAAATATTGAATTTTTACAATTTTTAGGCCGATGACGAACATTACATTCCAAGAGCTTTACTTTTAGATTTAGAACCAAGGGTAATTATCCATTTTCCCTTTATGTTTATTCGCTGACCGTTACTCTATTTAATTTGATATTTCAATTAGGTTATCAACAACATCTTGACCTCACCATATGCAAATCTTTATAATCCCGAGAATATTTATTTATCCAAAGATGGTGGTGGAGCTGGTAACATTTGGGCTTATGGATTTTCCCAGGCCAAGAGCGTTTGTGAAGATATATTTGAAATGATTGACCGCGAAGCTGATGGAAGCGATTCTCTCGAGGTATCATTTTTCTTAATCACTTAAATTACATTTAATGAGTCTAATTATTCCTTTAAAATTTTCAGGGATTTATGCTTCTTCATTCGATTGCAGGAGGGACGGGTTCTGGAATGGGGTCTTATCTCTTAGAAATGCTTAATGATAGATATCCTAAGAAACTAATAACAACATATTCGGTATTTCCCAATAATGAGGAAGTTTCAGACGTTGTTGTTCAACCCTATAATAGCATTTTAACTTTGAGAAGATTAACGGATTATGCTGACTGTGTGGTGATTATTCTGTTTACAACATCTGATTAATTTGTCTTTATTTTAGAATAATCCAAATAATGTTATTCCATATATTTAGACTGTACTGGATAATGCAGCATTGAATCGTATAGCATGTGATAGACTGCATATTCAAAACCCAACATTCGCCCAAACAAATCAATTGGTTTTGCTTTCATTGTTCTATCTATTCAATATATTTTTTTTCAATATGAACTTGAATGATAATTTCATTTATTTAGGTTTCAACTGTGATGTCTGCAAGTACTACAACGCTCCGTTATCCTGGATATATGAATAATGATCTTGTTGGAATGATTGCTTCACTTATTCCCACACCGAAATGCCATTACCTAATGACAGCATATACTCCTTTTACAAGCGATCAAGTCGAGAAGGTCGAGTACATTCCACTGTAGATTATGTATTTTGTTTATATACTACTTTAATGGGGAACTTTTTTTAAATATATATATATATATATAGGCAAAATCTGTACGTAAAACTACGGTTCTCGATGTGATGAGGCGATTACTACAACCAAAAAATAAGATGGTGTCAACGAATCCATCAAAAAAAAGTTGTTACGTGTCAATCTTGAATATAATTCAGGGAGAAGCTGACCCTACGGATGTAAGTTTTTTTTATAAAACGGATAATAGGTTGGAACTATGGATCTTAATATTATGGGTAACTTTTGTGATAGGTCCATAAATCGTTGTTAAGAATTCGGGAACGTCGGTTAGCACAATTTATTCCTTGGGGACCAGCTAGTATTCAAGTAGCGTTGACCAAAAAATCTCCATACATTCAAACATCCCATCGCGTAAGCGGTTTAATGTTGGCAAATCACACAAGCATGGCTTCGGTGAGTTACATATTTTATTACTACAAACTCCTTTTAAAATACTAATATATTTTGTATAATTTCCAGCTCTTGAAGCGTACTTGTGACCAATTTGATCGTATTAGGAAACGTGGAGCTTTCTTGGATCAATATCGGAAAGACGATCAATTTTCTGATAATCTTGAAGAATTCGACGCTTCTAGGTATTTTTCATCGATAATAATGAAAATATAAAGATTCTTATTAATTATGATTTATTATGGGCATTATAGAGGGGTAGTACAAGATCTTATTAATGAATATGAAGCATGCGAAAGTGCTGACTACATCCAATACGTAGGATTTTTGATTTTGATTTTGATTTTGATATTTTTTGTTTTGTCATGAACTATAAACTTAAATTCTTATTTATTACAGGGAACTTCCAAGGATTAAAAACAATATAAGTATTGTAAAGAGTGTTTATTAAAATAATTTAATGAACAATTTGTATATTTTTTACATTAAAATGATTTCAAAATTGCGTAATTATGTGATTAAAATCAAAGCTTTTGTACATTATGTTGGGGTAATTCGATTACTAATTTACCGAATTGCTTGCCCTTACTAAAGGAATATATATTCATGGATTAGTAAAGCATTTTATTTAAAATATTACCTTTTTGAAATTTTTTTTTTTTTATTTTCAAAAAAAAAAAAATAGCTTACTTCATGATTTCAAAAATTTCTGGAGTATTTTCGAAACCTTGCCAAACTCCACTAATCATAGGCTTAATCTTTTTTTCCTTAACAAAATTTAACATTTTCTCAAATTCTTCCCTGCTGCCCATAGTGGAGCCTTTAAGTTCAATGTTTTTGAGCACTGCACTCATTGGAAATTTTATAGCTGGAACCGATGTCATGCCATAACAACTTATAATACCTATAATAAATTATTTTAATTACGATTTGATCATTACAACTACAGGACCCTGAAATATATATTATTGTAACATGGATGGATACCTCCTGGACGTAAAATTTTCACAGTTTGGGAGGCAATTTCACCTCCTGCACCGTCAATCACGGAATCCAAGAATGGACGATCATTAGGCAAAAGATTTTTTAACATCTTTGGCCATTCATCTGCAATGAAAGTTAAATTTTAATAAGTGGGATCCAATTTTTATAAAAAATAGAATCAGGATAGAGAAGAAGGTCCAAACCTTCTCTGTAGTTGACACCTCCTTTCGCGCCTAATTGTTCAATAGCTTTTTTAATCTTGGACTCATCTGAAGATGTGACATACGCATTTGCACCGATCTTTGAAACAAAGTTCAACACCGTTAAAGCAACGCCACCCCCAATTCCCGTGATCAATACGTTTTCCCCTGGTTGAACATTGGCCTTTACAAAAGTTGCTCTACATGAATAATAATAATAATAATAATAATAAAATGAACGAAATTTTTTTAAAATCGATAAGGAAATTTGAATTTAAATAAAAGTTGCCTGAATGCGGTTAAACCAGCCAATGGGAGAGCAGCAGCTTCCGCTGAGGATAGATGTTTAGGAACAGGAAATATTTCAGCACGAGGAATAATGACGTATTCAGCAAAAGTTCCTTTGAAAGCAATATTTGTATAAATTGGATTAGATTCGGATAAAAGTGACTAGTTAGAATAATATCTCGAATTGAAATTTTTACCAGGTAATGGTAACAATCCAAGTATCGCATATTTACTTTCGGGACCTTTTGGATCCTTTTCCCAACCAAATCCTGGATTAATAACAACTTTTTGACCAACAAGATGAGAAAATTCATTACGTGACGTTGCTTGTACTATTCCAACACCATCACTTCCGAGTATCGAATTAAATTGTATCCCTGGATATAATCCTTTTCTTATCCAAACCTCACTTATCGAATTTTAAAGATAATCAAGTGATAAATTTGATTAAAATAACCCAAATTTTTTTTATTATTTTTATTTTAATCACGTTTAAAATTCTCACCGATGATTAAAAGATACCGCCTGTAATTTTATTAAAACTTCATCATTATTAGGATTCAAAGTGGGGACAGGAACTTCTCTAAGAATCACATCATGATATATAGACTCTTCATTTTTAACACCTTTTTGTAAAACGAGGGCTTTCATATTTTTTTTTTATTTTAAAAAAAGAAATCACGAAATTCGTATTATCTTTCGGAGAATTTTTTAAGTTTTTTTTTTTTTGTGATCATATAATTAAAGCACTACTTTATTTGGTTAAAACAAATTTATATACTAGATTTTTAAAGAATTTTTTTATTTATTATGTCATTGATACAAGTGCTTTAATTCTTTTGCCCTTGTCAACCGCAAGGTGACTGTCTGTATATTCGGGTGTTTTAGTGTGAATGTGGCGCATTACACGATATAGTGAACCCTCCGGTTTACTATGAAATTTTTAAAAAAAGATTCGGTTATCAAAATTTATAAGTTCTTTATATCGATTTTTATATGTTCAAAAATTTTAAAAAAATCGACCATAATCTGAAATTTTTTTTCCAAAAAATTTTTTTTGTGGCATACATTTGTGCATATTTTTTTTCATCGGTAATTATCCCCAAAAGGTTAATTCCTTTTATAGACTTGACCAAAAATGATTACCTCCCGAATTTTTTTTTAAATAAATTGTCAATCGGGTATCGCCGTTCTTTTGTGAATCAAGAAAGGTTTTATAATCCGATAGTTTTCTTTTTTCTTGGTTTTCTTTTGGACAAGATAATTATGTTCATGCACAAATCATGCAATTAACCGCTTTAATATAATTGAATTCGGCAGAATAATACATGTGCAGGAAGGTTGAAAAAAAAAATTTTCTTAATTTTCTATTTATTATTATATTACAAAAGCGCCCATAATAAAAAGTTGAAACTAAAAAAAAATCAAAAGGAAAGCACCAATCTATATTCTATAATTCTGATTAGGGAGTAGTTCAATGCCTTGCTTCCCTAATGAAGTTTTGTTAACTACATATGAAGGAGTGGGAGGGTAGGAGATCATAACACTAAATAAATGGTGGCGTTAACATAATTCTATAAATTATTAATTTAAATTAAAATTTATATATTTAAGAAAATTTCTTATCAGTTATTTATCAGTTACATAATAATTTTAAACTTAAAAAAATAAATTTCTAGATAACAAATTTGTATTCTAGTTGTTAAAATATTATACAATGAAACGAATCGAATGAGGGGAAAAAAAAAAACCAAAAAAAAAATTATTTTTTTTTTTTTTTTTTTAACCAATGTTCCCAATTAAAATAAATATATATATATCTTGAAATTTTTTTCTTTTTTTTTTTAAAAAAAAAAAAAATCGAATGCTAGTCAAAAAATCTAAAGGTAAAGAATTGTCGCAAAATTTAATTTCGTTGCACACCACCACCTCGAACATAACTTTCATCATGACGCGCTAAATGCATACTGGTACTTTCATGATTATAGTCGTGGGAAGATTGACTTAACGGTTGTCCGTACCCATGACTACTACTGACATGAGAACTCCCTTGAGAATATCCACTCTGTCCGTGGGTATGTCCGTTATTTGTTAACTGCGTACTTGGCTGAGAAAACCAATCGACAGGTCTTGCAGCCGTTGATTCGAATTCGTATTTCACTTGAACAGGATTGTGATCAGATTGGCGATGTAATTGATGCTGCGAAGGTGCCTGTTGTTGTTGGCGGTGATGAGTTTCTTGAAAATGTTGTATTGAGGGCTGATGATGATAATAAGGAGGGTGGTAAGATTGTTCTGTTGTAACTTGTCTGACAGAAGGTCCTGCGGACACATCGGTCGGAACAGAAGCATATGGCGGACGATTTTGAGCTCTATAAGATGGTACCTGTTGACCTGCAACGGTAAGTGGCGGTAACAAAGTCGGTGGATGTTGGTGTTGTTGATGTTCCGAATGATCATGTAATACTTGTTGATGCTGTGGTTCCAATCGTTGCATATATTGCATATGTTGTAAATGTTGCTGTTCGTTTTTTTTTTATTTGTATTTGTAATTTTTTTTTTTTGACAGGGAATACCAGGAATACCAGGTCGTTAGCTATCACAAAGTTTACGAAAAAATATGCGAAATTATTGTGTAATTTACCTGTTGTTCATGCAATGCGGCCATAGGATCCACTATTATTTTATGGTCAACGGGCATACTAGGTGACTACATTGAAAGGAAATTGTATCACACGTGTTAAATCGGAATGCTTTATATTGCGATCCATCGATGCAAGACTAATTTGATCGATCACACTCACAGACAAATTTTTAAGGGAAAAAAAACATGGGTAATCTTACAGGATTGAATTGATGTCCACTCTGAGGCATTCCCAATCCATAAGCATATTGACTTTGATGTTCTTGGTAATCCATCTGTAATATCAATCAAAGAATTAAGAACTGATCCAAGGTAATGTTTCACCAGATTCACAAACACAAACCTTGTCGTTTTTGACCGAAACCTTCTCTTCTCTTGGTACAATGTCTATTAAAAAGTCAAACATATCAACTTTTTTTATTGCGTTTGCGATATCAGATCTTTGTAAAGTTCTTCGCTTGCATTCTTCCGCATGATGCCTATTTAATTATATCTATTAGTTTAAATGAATTTACTTTTAAATGTTAGGGAATTGAAATATTGTCTTATTCAAGATTACCACGCTCGCATTGTTAATTCTGTTATAAATATATCGCAACCTTTTGCAAAAAGAATGGGTGCCTAGAACAAAAAAAAAAAAAAAATTAGGTATTGCAAGTTAAAATATTGATTGCAAAGCTATTAATAATTTACCTCGGCGCTGATCATCTTTTTTTCATCGTAAGTGTCAAAAATGAATCAGAGAAATTTATATAAAAAATTGGTTAGAATTCTCATGTCAAAGAAATAAAGGAAAAGCATCACGCGTACAGATTTTTGAGTTATGATCCGGTGTAACCATTATATCACGGATCTTCCTCAAATATTTGATCAATTCAATTTCTCCATGAAAAAACAAACAGAAGTTCTTCTACCTTCACTTCCTCATCAGTCTTCATAACTTTCTTTATCCTAGCTAAAGGAAGCTGGTGAACCTTGAAATCGTGAACACCATGTCTGATTTCTTGTATTTGTTGTTGCCAGAAATTATCAAGTACGGTATAATGTTGAGGTTGGAATTGATGTTGAGAGTGCATTGGAGTGGGAGCAGCAGCAAGAGCAACTTGAGTTTGCGGATCTATTATGAGATGTGGAACACCTGGTCCACTTACAAGTTGTTGTTGTGCTACTCTTTGTTGTTGATTCAAGTGGTGGTGTATGTGTGCGTTAGGATCCGCCATAATAATTTTTCCTTAACTTTTTGGAGGAAAAAAAAATCTTACAGGTATGTTACTTAAGGGGTAGAAAATTTAACAAGGTCCAGGCTTTTATATGCGTATTTAAAATTTTACCTAAAAAAAAAAATTTTTTTTCGGTCTATCGCGCACTGACTAATGTACTACACCAGAAATTTATGATGCGGTTTAACTTTAAATGGATTAAATGTGATTTGATAAGGCGTGGTGGCTAATTAGATTTAATTTTAGTTTATATCTTAAACCCCCCAAAAAATAATTTTATTCAACAGGGGTCTCACAGAAAAAAAATAGGACGCCAAGGATAAATGGCCGAAGGGCCTTTTTAACGATGACAACCAATCCGATGACTTACTTTATCTTATTTTATCCAACTCCAATTGGGGAGATTGTCGCATTATAACCCAAAAATCGACTGTTGTGCCTTTTGTGTTTTGTTTGTTATGTCGGTAATCTGTTGTAATTGTATTAATCTTATATTTTTCCGATTTTTTTAGAAAAAAATGTAATTCATAGACGGAAATATACCGTATAATAGAAAACTCTCACGGGTTGTTCCCAGTTTATCAGCAAGATTTGTTTTTTTTTTGTATTTTTTATTGATTTTGTTTTTTTTTTGTTTTTTATTTTATTTTTTTTTTTTTAAAAAAAAAAAATAAATAAATAAAAATACTCCAGGAGTTTTTATAAAAAAAAAATACATGATGCAAGCAAAGGGTGAAAGACAATATAATAGTAATATTGTTAAACGGTTTATATTAGATGATAAAATTATTGGCCAACCATTTTTATCTAATATGGTACCGCAGATTATTTATTTATAAAGGGAACGTAAGTTTGGAAATTAATCATGTGCGCTATTGTATTGGTTCATCGATGGAATTTTTAAATAGTTCGGGGTTTTTGCTTTTTTATTCCTTTCCCCCTTCATAAATCTGTAATATTCATAAATTATTGTGTAATATTTATTTTTAATCGAAACATAATTGCAGATTTTATGATCAGAAAAATAATGAAAGAACCCTTTTCTGGGATTTTCCAAAAAAAAAAAATTTTTTTTTTTTCAGGGTTTCTATTCGTCCACTAATCCTCGCGTTTAATCCGAAAAGAATTCCGAAACTTTAAAAAAAAGCTATTGAATCTCAGTCCCAAGCAGAAAAAAATCGGTATTGGCCGATAATTGTTGAACTGATTTGGTTATACGGCTAATCGATGAGTGATGTTATCTTTACTGTAACAAAGAAATCCTTTTTATTTTCTTTTACTAATTATATTTATTATTGTTATATTATTATTGTTATTATTATTATTATTATTATTGATTATATTGATTATTATTCTTTATGGTAAATGCATTGAGAAGATCACTCACTTTTAATGTATTATATGCAAATGGAAAAAAATTTCCAACCCCTCATTCACTTTTAACAAATTACATAAGGTATGCAGAAGAAGAAATTCATGATCATTTTGAGGTGAAAGATTTGCAACAGAAAGATGTCCAATATATGTTATGTAGAGTTACATCTATATTACATGAAAACCACCTGATGACCTTTACCCAATCAACATCCATTCATTGATGTTTATTTATTTGGTAATAGATCCTTAGTCATCATTGAAACATAAATCTGCACTTATATTTGATTACATCAACAAATTTTTTTTGTACATGTCTTATTGCAATTTAAATAATATCTTTCATAGATCGAAAAGTTTTAATTTCCATTCTAAAAAGAGATTATCATTTATGTTCGTATTTTAAAATATAATGCGATTCATGCTAGATTTGGATAAGGTGAAACTTAAATAAAAAAAAAATTATTTACAGCAATTAAAACTTTCCTAGAAATACAAAAGAAAGAAACGTAATAAAAAGGAAATGTTCACCACGACGCGAAATACATGGCCATTTTTGGAAAGACCATCAACAACTCATACTTTAATCAAATCATTAAAAAAAAAGATTACTTTTAAAAAACACCGTATGAATAAAATTTCGGAAGACGGGTTAATTTAAAAAATTAACGCGAATCACGATCTATCGTTGATTTCATTCGTTCCAGGTAAATTAAAAATCAATAAGGTTTAGGTACAGTGATAGAATAATAGAATGGATCAACAAAAAACATTAATAGAATGAAAAAATTTAAAACTGACTGTTCCGATCATCAGATACTTTGATTGACATACGATTTTCAATCTTAACTAGGTTCAACCTATTAAAGAATCGAGAAGATAATTCAAACGTCAAAATTATATTCCGATCAATCAATAGTAACTAATTTATATGAATAAGGTTAGCATCATATCATAATATATTTTTTTTGATAGGAGGTTGTGGAACTTAACATCCAGTGTTCTGAAATTTATCTAAAACTCTCAACTTTTTTTGTTTATTGAACTCTTGGAAACAAGTTTTTCCACGCGTTGCTTTTATGTATGATGATGTATAACAATTTACGCCATGTGTATCATGCAACCAACCAAATATGCATGCATCTACATGTATATATAATATATTTCACGTTGTAGAAATTCATAACAAAAAGTTAGCTTAGAATCTTATTTGTCAATTTTAATAATTTAGTATTGTCCGAGAATCCAAATTTAATTGGGTAAAGAAAAAAGTTACATTAAATGGATATAAATAAACAAAATTTCCGAAATTTTTTTTTTATTTAGTTTACTAAAATTAAAAAAAAAAAATTTTTTTATTTATTTATTTTATAAATTATAATTTACCACTTTGGTAACTAAAAATATATTTTTTGAAAACATCTCACCCTCAATTCTTGCATGGATTCAAACGCCGAAACTTTGTAATTACTTGAACGACATTAGAAGTCAAGGCAACTGTGGCGAGATTTTGATTGGTTTCGAGGTTGTTTTCTTTTTCTTTGTATTTTTCCTTATTAAGGATTCTGTTAAATTTGTCAATAAAAATTATATAAATATATGTATATTTTTTTTTTATCATCGTTGATGACATTACGATTAATTCAAGAGAAATAAACCGACCGGATTTTGTGAGACATTTAGTCACGTTACACATCTTTGTAAATGCTAAAAATATTTTATATTTACAACAATCAGCACCTATTATCTTAATTAATATTATTAATATTATTAATATTTCGGAAAATGTTTAATGCTTCACCAAGTAAAAAAAATAAATTATTATAATTAAACATTAAAATATTAAATAATAAATATTAAATAAAATTTATTATAATATTTTAATAAAAGTAATTAAAAGTTTTTTTTTTATTTAATAATATCATATAATCTATAATAATATAATCATTATGATTTATTTATATTTAAAAATTTAATTTTAAAATTATTAATTTATTATATAATAATTAAAGTTAATTTTTTATCTAATCTGATTTAAATAATAATTATATTATAATAGTAGTGAAGAAATAAAATAAATTTATAATATTTTTTTTTTCTTAAAATTTATTAAGTAAAGTATACAGTTGAACTTCACTATAATGAATTTTTATTTTTGGAAATCATAATTTATTATAATAAGAAAATTCAGTAACATCATCAATTTATTCATTATATAATGATACCAAATATCATATTCATATTTGATATATGATAATAAGTTTGAAATAATATGTAAAATTCAATAATTCAAAGAAATAATCTAATTTTAAATTTTATATGATTTTTGCAATTTTAAATTTATGCAATTTTCACAGTTTCATAATTGAAATATTCAACAAATTTAAATCTGAATTTTTGTTTGATTTAATTGGTTCACCTAAATTTTATTAGATCAGGTTATAATAATGTGACCTAATATTAATCTAAAATTTGCCTATCTAACCTGATTTTTTTAGATTAAAACAGATCAGGTCACAGATTGAATTTACCTAATTCAAAACTCTATAAATAATTATATTATATGATCAATTTAGTAAGATATAGTAAATTAACAAAAATTTCAGTTAGATTTTTAAATATAATAATTCAGCATCACAAGTTAGTATAAAAGTATCTAAAACTGATGAATTAATAGAATATTTCTAGTATTTTGCCAGTTTTACACCAGTTTCTAATTAATATTCAAGTACTTTTTCAATACTAGCATAGCATCAAATTAGATCTTTAAATCATATGCCTAAAAATCTGCTAGAATTATATTATAATACTAATTAAAATTAACTGTAAATTTATTATGTCACCTAATATAATTTTTTTTGGCAATTAAGATGAAATAGAAAAAAAAAATACAGATAAATACTTTGGTAATCAAAGATAACTAGAATAATACTATTGTCGACTTATGATATTAAGGAATAGCTAATATATCAAAGTAAATATTATACAAAAACTAAAAAATGCTAGAATTTTCTTTTTCATTAATAATCAATTATATTTTTTTATTTTATTTATATTATCAAATTTTTTATAAATAGAATAATTATAGAACTTTGTTAACAATAAAAATTTACTTTAATTTTATTAATAATAAGATAATTATTAAATACACTTATATTAAAAATAAATACACTTATAATAAATTTTTTTGCTTAATAAAACTCTAATTACTTAATTCATAATTACAATTTGTCTTTAAAATACATTTTGATTGTACTAATCTTTAAAGCTTTTCATAAGATCTTATCTTGTAAATCATAAACTAAATCCTTTGTTAATCTTATGTTAATACTAATTTTTAGTTATTAGTATCATAAGATAACAATATTAATTTTTATATATTTAATATTGTAATCCAAATGATCTTCAATAATTGGAATTATGGCACAGTAAAAGTGATTCACAAATGATCATCATATTGATCTACAAAATCAATGACCCAATGATCTTCCAAAGTGATCTGTAGAATTAACCAGATCAGTTAATGAAGAAATGAAATAATGAATCATTAATCCATAATGACATGCGTAACCTTCTAAACTAGAAATTCTAAATAGGAACTTTAAGAAGAAACTAGTCAAAGGCTA